TCTTCACCCTTGGATTAGTTTATGGTATTTTATTGTATGTTATACAATCACATATATTAAATTACAATCTATCAATCATAGCATGCATAACACTATAAGACAAAACTAAGTTTATATTATTTGCAAACTAAGACTTTAAAATTAAAACATACTTATATCAAGGTAAATCGCTTTTCTTGTTTTGTTACCATCTACACTAGAGTATTTTTTAAAGTTTCATGAAGTTTTTCTTGATATTTCTTTAATGAAAGCTAACATTACTCATAATTTGAAGTATAAAACTAAATATAAATGCAATTCGATAAAAAAATATATATGTTGATATTCGATGAACTTAATGTTTTTCAAGTACGTTCCATTCACCATGTTATAGAAGTGAAAGTTCAAATTATCTTCAATAGATCTCGAAATAGGCTTCATAAACTGTACAACAGTGCTTATTGTGAAAAATGGACTTCATAGGCCACACAACAGTGGCTATTGTGCTCTTAACTCCAATTTGGAGTTTGAGCTTTTCCTTCACGGACCAAGGCAAGGTTTTTTTTTTTTTTTTGGGTTAAAAAGAATTATAAAGTCATTGAGGGCCCGAAATGGAGAGCCCCGAATGGCTCGAAATTCCATTTCGGGTAAAAAGAAAGAAAAAAAAAAGAAAAAAGAAAGAAAAAAAAAAACAGTTTCCAAAATTGGAAATTAGGAGTATTAGGGGCAACTTTTTTAGGGCTCTCAATCATTTTCCAAAAAGAATTATAAAGTCAATAGATTCAGCTGTATTAGCAAAATATTATATTATATATATGAATCATTTTTTTTTTCCCCACAACTATCTATTCAACAAAATAATCATTCCAAGCACTCACTCTATTTGGCTTTAGATTTTTAACAACACATTTTTAATTTTTAATCCATATTTTTTTATTTTTAGTACATTTTTTAAAATTTTAATTAATTACTTTTTTTACTTTCTAGATTAACTTAATCTGAATATATGTAAAAATTAAAATATTTGTGAAGAAATCTAAACGGAATTCAATGGAATTTTCGTATTTTTTGTATTTAATGATTTTTTCAAACATTTTGTACACAAATTTTGTACTTTTAAGTGTATAAGAATTAAGTGGATCTAAAAACTTTGAAAAAATGATTAGAATTACAAAAACATTCACTAAAATAAAATATTATAGATTGAAAATTAAAAAAACTTTTTTAAAAAATTCTAAACCAACAAAGTGATTAACTTTTTTCACCTCATAAAAAAATTAAAAAGCCAAGTTCCCAAACGTGATCTTAGTGGGTGTTTGGGGTTTTTTTTTTTTGTGTATTTTTTTCTTTTAGTATTTTTTAAAAAATTTTAAAAGAATTTACACTTTTGAACTCTACTCGAATAGACAGACTGGAAAAATTTCAAATTTTAAAAAATAGAATATACAAAAAAGAGATGCAAAAAATTGTTGACTTTCTGGCCTTTTTTATTTTATTTTAGTGAACTTATTTTTTATTTTTAAATTTTTTTTTTTACATTTTTGATTTGTCTATACAAGACTGATCTAAAAAGTCAACATTTTGACAAAATTTTGAAAAATAAAAATGGAAAAAAAAAAGTTTTTTAACTAGTTGCCAAACAGCCCCTTATTTATTTTTAAAAAATAATCTAAAAATAATAAATTTTACTTTTAAATTAATAATAATCAAATGGTGCATCATGTAAAATAGTACTAAATAATTTTCTATTCAGATGTATCGATACCACAAGCAAATTTGGGGCTTACTCATATGTGATCCATATAAACGGATGACATAAATAATTTTTTGTTTAGTGCAGCATTTGGTCCATACACATTTTAGGGTTTCGATACAAATTATAATTTAAGAAAATCTCCTCTTCTTCTTCTTTTTGTTGTTGTTGTCGAATATGTTAAAAAAATCATAAATTACAATGTAAAGTTACAACTAAATACTATTATACATAAATTGATAATTAACTTATAAATATTATCAAACATGCCTCTAAATTGATAATTTTGAGTCTAAACAATAACGCTAATCACTTTTGTGTTGACATTTATTTATTTATTATTTTTTTAAGGACAATTTACTCATAAATTTCATGTGAGAAAATATTGATCTATTTAGTCCTAAGAGTTTTTTTATGAACCAATTAGTCTTTTTTGTTTTGAAAAGTTGTACTTATTTGATTTGGTGCCATTTGAATTTAAGTAAATGTTCTTTTATGATTCATTTTTCTAATTTTCTGATTTGTTTCTGGTATAAAAATAAAAATGTGAGATGTGGAAGATTCTTTTTAGGGGATTGATGGTTGAATGTCGAGCATTGAAATCTATATTTTTGTTAGTGTGGTTTTCTGGTATTACATTGAAATGTTACATTAGAATGTCATTTTTTTAAAAAGTACAATAATGAGTTTTTGTGTGTGACATTGAATGGAGCATTATGCTTGGAAAAAATATATTAAGAATTTTTTTTTTGAAATGTTACGTTGTTACGTTTAGAAAAAGTACACTAAGGAGTTTTTGAATGTGTTATATTGAAGTGTTATATTTAAAAAAAATACATTAAAGAGTTTTTTAAAATGTTACGTTATTTTGTTTGAGAAAAGTACACTAAAGAGTTTTTTAGCATGTTACATTAGAGTGTTATATTTAAAAAAAAGTATACTAAAGAATTTTTTAGTATATTACATTAATTGGAGTGTTACCTTTGAAAAAAGCACATTAAGGAATTTTTTTCAAAATGTTACATTATTTCGTTTGAAAAAAGTATATTAAGAAATATTTTTAAAGTGTTATATTTAATAATTTTAACATTATGAGAAAACTCACATTTATTTTTTGGATATTTACCAATAAGTCCCATCTCACAAACAAGTACTCCAATTAGTCCCAAGTTTTTTCTATTGATTTGTTAAATCCTATTAGTAGAGAGTTTCTTTCCGTGTAGTCCTATTTTCGATTTTGGTAGCATTTTGGTGGAGGACTATACCCTTTTATTAATGTGGCAGGTATGATGTGGCACTCCAATCCAATGTAACAAGTATTAATGTGACACTCTAAAAAAATTAAAAATTTCTTAATGTACTTTTCTCAAATGTGATAACGTGGAGGGTATAATGTGACACTCTAAATTTTTTTACTCAAAAAAAAATAAAACTCCTTAGTGTACTTTTCTTAAATGTGATATCGTGGTGGATATAATGTGACACTCCAAAAAAGTTAAAAACTCCTTAATGTACTTTTTTCAAATTGGACAACGTAGTGGGTAGATGTGACACTCCAAAAAAAAATTAAAAACTTATTAGTGTACCTTTTCTAAATGTGACAACGTGGCTTAAATGTAACAACGTAATAGATATGATGTGACGCTAAAAAAAATTAAAAAGTCATTAGTATACTTTTTCTAAATGTGACAACGTGACGAGTATGATGTAACACTTCAAAACAAAATTAAAAACTCATTAGTGTACTTTTTTCAAACGTGACAACGTGACAGGTATGATGTGACATTCTAAAAAAATTAAAAATTTATTAGTGTATTTTTTCTAAACGTGACATGTAACACTCTAATGTGACGAGTATAATATGACACTGAAAAATTAAAAAAGATTTTTAGTGTACTTTTTTCAAATATGACACTCCAACGTAATGGGTATGATATGACACTAAAAAACACCTTAGTATACTTTTTTTCAAATATGACACACCAATATGGTGGATAAATGGGTCATTACACATAAAAAAAAGATTAAGGCCGAGTTTGGGAAGTGTAAAAAAAGCTAAAAAGTCAAAAAGTTACTCAAAAAGTTAAAAAGTTATCACTATTCACCAAAAGTCAAAAATTACGGTTGCACAACTCTCAATACTAATTTTTCCCTGCACACTAATTTATACAATTTTTTAATACATATTTTTTCATAAAAAATTAAAAAATTAACTCAAACATCTATATTTTTTCACTCAATTTTTTAATCCAAAAAGATAAAAAGTACACTTATTTAAGACACATCAAACAACTCCTAAATGAATCACAAAAAAAAATATTAAACTATATAAATTATAAATGTAAAATATGATACTTATTGAATAATCTCCCTTTATTTTTCAATACATACTTTATCCTTTTTTAAAACCAGAATCTCGCTCTTTTGTTGGTGTAGGTGATTTCTCTCTCTATACATGTCATACCTCCACTAATTAATTAGGACATATGCGACATGTTAAACATGATATTAATAAATTAGTTTTGTCGAGTAGAGTTGACTCGGTCTATTACTTTATTACTATAAATAGTTAGAGCACATGTTAGGATTCATAAACTATACTACTTAAAGCACAAGTCACATTTGGTAGACTACTATGGCAATTTAGTCTACGTGAGAGAATACAAGAATCTCTGACAAAAGAACCATGACAGTGAACTCTAATTAAAATGGAGTAAAACCAATTAATAATTTCTCTAATAATCTTCCAGACAAGTACAAATTGGTTATGAGGTTATCAGTATTGTTGATTTAGAGTAAGAATCACAAACAATTACAAGTGATACGTGAACTAAATAGTTTAATAGTTTAAAATTTTGTTAGTTAATTTAATAACAAGTTAATCTTAAATATATTTTTGAAATTTATTAAAGTTTCAAATCAAATTTAAACAGTGAGTTATTCGTTCGATTCGGTTTAATAAATTTAAAATCGTATAAAAATATCAAATTACTTGAGCTCGATTAGACAAAAACTCATTTGAGATTGACTCGAAAGTTTAACAAATTAAACTTAAACAAATTTGAAACTCATTAAAATTTTCAAATCATATTTAAACAATTAATTTTCAGTTTGTTGAGCTCTTTCTCAGTCATAATCACAAAATTGAATTAATGAGAGATCGAATTGACTACTTATATTTGTGATTTTTTATTGACCAGTAACACCACCTTTCTCTCAGTATTTTGCCCCCAGATTCATCAGATTTTCTCTGTAATCAAAAACATGATTGAATAGAATAGTGTGATACTATTGACAATTCTGATTCCGGGTCATCAAAAACACAAACCCAATTTAAAAAACTCTTATCAAATTAGGTACAAAAATCTACAAAACAAGAACAAATAAAAAGAATAAAATAATCTGGTTTGCATTTTGCTAATTTTATTGAAATTTATAGCTAGTTTCTAAAATTGTAACTAGCTAAAAATCAAGAAAGAATTTGATTAGCCTATGATCACTATTACTATTACTATATCGAAGAACTCTGAGCATTTCCAGTGGTAGAATCAGAAGAATCACCCCTACTGAAATCCATCATCGTCATCATCCACTCTTCAATTTCTCGCTCTTCAATCACTTCCCAGAATTCATTTTCCTTACTGGGTCCGGCTTCCATCTCCGCCGCCAATTCCCTCTTGGCCGGAATTTCTTGCTCTGCCTGTGAGCTCTGACTCTGATTTAACAACGTGATGTCATCCGGGAAAGGAAAATTGAGCTTGGCCCGGGGCCCGCGGAACTCAATGGCGGCCTTATCGTAGGCCCGCGCCGCTGCCTCCGCCGTCTCGAACGTCCCCAGCCACACCCGCGCCGCCCGCCGCGGGTCCCGGATCTCCGCCGCCCACTTCCCCCACGGCCGCTGTCTGACACCCCTGTAATTCTTCTTTTTCTTCTTTGGAGCAGTGCCCTTTTTGTCCTCTTGAGTTGGCGGGAAAAAGTTGCAACCCAAACAGCCCTTGATTTTGCAAAATTGACAAGTGTCGGGATCGGGAACGGGGAATAGAGGGCGTTCCTGATCGGTGGTGGCGATGGCGGTGGTGGTGGTGGTGAATTCGAAAAGCCGGAATTCGTGAGTCATGTCAATGGCAGTGCCGCCGGCAATGACGTTCTTGAGAGCGGCAACCATGACGGATGCCTCCTGTTCGCGAGTGAGACGAGGCGGTTCGGGTTGTTGCTGCGGCGGCGTTGGGTAGGAAGTGGAAGCTCCGCCGTGTTTGAGTCTCTTGGGTGACTTTTGTTGCATGATGTTTTGGTAGTGTATATGAGCGTTCTGTTGGTAATTTGTTGATGTTGTTTTGGGATTGGATTTTTGGGAGAAGATTGATTATATATGGGACTAGGGGAGTCCACGTGGCGGCTTAGCTGTGTACACTCTTCACACACGGGGTGACGGGGTCTGATTTTTTTAAAAAAATTTTAATTATTATTTTGGTGGCACGCGGGATAATGGATTTTTTTGGTGGGGTTCGAGAGGATTGGAACAGCAGTGACGTAGGTCAGAGTGAGAATTACGAGATGCCAGGTTGGCACTTGACGTCACGTCTTTGGACGTTCACACGCGCGGCTTCTCGGATGGGCGGTTGGTTACTGTCTTGTGTGTTTTTTATCCGGACTGGGCCGTGTCCTTTGTGCAGGTAGTAGGGGTTCCAACTGGTCACTTCTATAGGGAAATTATTTGATGGTTTGAGGCAAACTTACATAGTCTAGCTTGATATTTATCTATTTTATATCAATTAAAATAATAAAAGCATCTCCAACGGTATTTGTTGAAGTAGCATTGTCATTGTTATAATTTGATAATGAATAGTATTATTTTGTCAAATTGTAACAATTGCGCTCCAATAGTCACATGTTATTTTGAAAAATCCCAATTAACTTTCCTTCCAAATTTATAAAATTGTTTGGATATAGGTTTTTAGTGATTTTTTTTTTGTTTATTTTTTTTGTCTTTTGTGACTTTTTTTAATTGTTTCTAAAAAAAATATTATATATTTATATTATTCCCGACTAGACAAATATAAAAAATAATAAAATAATAAAAAATTGAAACATTTATAGCTATTGTTTGTACTAATTTTAAACATTTTTTTCAAGCAAAAAGAGCACAACAGCTCTTTTGCCTTTCCAAGACTAATCACCACTATCCATCTCAATCATTTCTAACGGTTAAGATGAATGATCCAGAATCATTTTGACTCTTCACTCTGTCTTCACTTTGTCTTCACTCTCTCTCTTCCTCTCACACACTCTCTCTTACTATTTCCTCCTCCTCCTCCTCTCTCTCTCTCTCTCTTACTATTTCCTCCTCATCCTCCTCTCTCTCTCTCTCTCTCTCTACCCCTAATCGCCGAACACCAACCTTTCCCCTCTCTCTCTCTCTCCCTCTCATTTTCACTCTCACTCTATCCATCTCTCTCTCACTCTCTTCAATCAGCGATGATGTCTACCCCTAATTGCCGAAGACCAACCTTTCTTCCATCTCCCTCTCACTTCTCTCTATGTTGTCCGACACCGCCAATCATCGTGGTCTACCCCCACCCCTCTCATTCTCTCACTTATCTCTCTATCTCTCTCTCTCTCTCTCTCTCTCTCTCCCAGAATGAATCAGCGACATTGGACAAGATCGAAGAGACGATAGTCGATTCTGAACCAAGGACCACCAGATCTGCTCCCACCATCGGCGATATCTTCACTACTTCTTTTGACGCTGTGACTCACGACCAAATCTACTTTGAACTACCAAAACTAGGTATTTATTATTTTCAATTTTGTTCATATTCTGAGATTCTAAGATTTGAAGTTATGAAATTGCTTGCTGAGCTCCAATGAAATTGTTAATTTTTTTTTTTTTTTTTTTTTTTTTGTTGAATCTGAGATTTGTTGAATTTGTTTGAGATTTATTGATTGTTGTTGACTGATTTTGTAAAAAAAAAAAAAAAATTTGTTGATTTCGGGTAAATTAAAAGAAATTATTGAATTTTTTTTTGAGTGAATTCTAATTTTAAAAAAAAATGGCGAAACAGTTGTTGGGTTGGGAGGAAGTAAGGGAGAGAAACAATTAGTTTTGGCTGAGTTGGCACAACTGGCAGCTGACACAAGCTTTGGCATTTCTCAAATTTGGCAGCTACTATATTCAACCATTGGAGCATCATTGTTCAACACAGCTGCTATATTATAGCAATGGCAGCCCCAATGGCAAACCATTAGAGATGCTTTAAGATATAATATTTTAAAAATATATTATTAAGTCCATTTTTCATATTTATTTTCTAAACTTAATAATGTATAAGTGATATGATTGATTAATAATTACAAAAGATATGAGAGAGTGTGTTACCTTTAATATTATAATTGATTGTCACATCACGGAATTTAAAAATTGTGTCTAATTTTTTATTTTAAATACTAATGCTCTAATACTTTTTGTTAGATTTTTTATATTTAATTTGACATGATTCAAGTGATGAATAGTGTGAAGTTGAATCGATTCGAGTAGTAAGTTTTTCAAACTTAGTTTGATAACTTAACAAGTTTAAAATTATATTTAAGCTTAATTTGTTTACATAACAAGTCAATTTCAAACGAACTCGAATAGTTTGATTTATTTTATTTTTTTATTATTATACATATAAGCTTATCAAGCTAAGTAATAAGGTGTTCAAGTTTCGTTTGTTTACATAACGAATTGATCTCAAACGAGGCTATAATGAGCCAAACATGAGTAGCTTGATTCATTTAATAGCACTATCCAAGACCACCAAATAAGCATTCCTCCTACAGATAATAATACTGCCAGTCTCATTTATTTATTTAGATCTGTGGAGGGACAAAATATTAGCCCAAATCCAACCATAGCCAAGCAGGTTAGCACAAAGAAAAGAGAAAAGCCCAAATAACTAAAAAGCCCATCAGAAAGGCAAATAAGGGAACAATGTCACGTGCCCAAAGTATGAGTAAGATCTCCTTCCAGAAAGAGATCTACAAAATGCAGAGAAGCCCTTAGATCCATGTTTATCCAACAATAAAGACAACAATTAGTAGAGATAAGGATATAGGCTAGACTTACCCAAACAATACAATCATCCGATTATCTTAATCGAACGGACGAAGCATTCGACAAGTTAGGCACTAACATATGACATAATCTAGGCTGACTGCAACAAGATGATCCAATGGTAAAGAGTAAAGACAGCCAGGCCACTTGCCCAACCAAAGTTCATAAACAAGCAGAACCCTTGGATTAGATATAAATCTAATGATTGAGACCTGAGGCAATAACACTATAAAGGGAGGGGTAAGAAAAGCAAGAAGGTAGACCAGAGGTAACTAAGACTCATTCAACATTTTGACTTGATCGTCGGAGGGTCTTCTCGACCATCCTTGGTCAAGGGTGATCACTAACGAATTGGTTTCTCTTTTCAGAGTAAAGGAATGGGCATTTCATCTCGCTTTCCTTGTGGAGAAAATTCTTACCTTCTACAATTGGCGTCGTCTGTGGGAACAATGAGAAGATGAGTACCCATTTTTCTCTAGAAGAGATACCAAATGATCATCAGAATGTACCAATCGAGAATATGGCTAGTTTGAACTTCGGCCATGATTTCGAAGTGGCACACAAAGGCTTAGAAAAAGTAATCTCCCCACCAGATAATGATGATCAACAAGCTCGGCCCATAGATCGGCTAGCAGCACAAGTCTAACCCCTGAAGGAGGAACCACGATTGGCCCACAAAAAACCAGACACCCGAATAAAGACGACCAAGATTTGCAGGAAGACTGGTTCCCAAGAGACCACTAGCCAAATTGCCAACAGCCACCCCGATCGGACACAGAGAAAATGCTAGGTCACCGAAAGAGAGGACTCCCAGGATTACCAGAAAAACGACTTGAAAAGTTGGCTCGATGGCCGAATCGGAGGCAATCCCAAGCCCGTTAGGAGAAAAATCTTCACAGAAGAACTAGCTTCATTGTTCTCCCAAACAATAGATAGCGTTGACATGCCGAAAAAATTCACCTCTTCAAAGTTTAACCTATATGATGGCAAATGAAATTCGACCAGTCATATTCAACATTATACCCAAGCCATGACCTTATGGAGCAATAATGGGCCGATCATGTGCAGAATGTTTTTCTCGAGCCTAGGGGAGATGGCGCTCTGTTGGTACTATAAATTAGAAATCTGATCGATCAGTGACTGAAAGCAATTATAACAAGCGTTTATCTCACGTTCTAGCACCAATAGCCGACCACCAAAAGAGGTGGACGTGCTCTTTACGATGAAGAAAGATTATACGGAGAGGCTGCGAGAATATGCCAATAGGTATTGGGTGGCATATAATGAAATTGATAACTGCAACGAACAATTAACAGTTGCCTCATTTAAGTGAGGATTGCAGCCCATAAGTAAGCTATGCCAATCCTTAACAAAGAAGCCACCCACTGACGTGGGTAGTTTAATGAGGCAAGTCGAGTAGCATTGCAAGATCGAAGATGACTGACGCAGGTCCGAAGAACCAAAGCCTTCCTAGCTCCTATCAAGGGTCCCCAGGAAGGAAGAGAAGAAGACCCCCAACACCAAAAGAAAGGAATCAAACGCTATAGCCAAACAACTAAAGCCAAGAAATGAGATTTTCCAGGCAAATGCCACCATTTTCACCGAACCATTATACCGGCTAATGGTGAAGATCCAAAATGAGCTTTACTTCTCTTAGCCTCCAAAGATGGTAGGGGACTCATCCTTTCGAAATCGTAGATTATGATGTTCTTACCACAAAGATTATGGACATCTTACAAAAGATTGCAAGGCATTAAAGAAATTTTGGGAAGAATTGGCACAAAGTGGACACTTATGCTCTTATATTGATCATTCCTCCGATCGAAAAGAAAAACGCAAATGGTGATGCGCAATCGTCAGTAACCATTAACATGATTATTACTCAAAAAGGCAACCCAAGAGAGGGGATGAATTGGGTTTCTATAAATTAATTTAACAATTACCCAGTAAAAATTAACCACTAATTTTGAAGATAATTAAACAAATGAATATCACAGAAAATATGAAAGTAAAAGAGATAAGGAAAGAAAGGACAAACAAGATTTATAGTGGTTCGGCTTAAACCAAGCCTACATCCACTTCTCAAGCTTCACTTAAGATTTTTCACTAATCTTTAATTTTCTAGCTTCACTTGAGTGCTAGCAACCTCATATACATGGAGTAATTCTCCACAAATTCCCTAGCCTTACAGGACAGCTAGTAACCTCTTACAAGTTAGTGATGAGTGATTTTGCTCTCAGAGAAAGCTGGAG